ATTTTACATATGAAGTACCTTTTGGTAGGAATGTGCAATAAAGGTGAGGGTAACATCCTCTAAAAGGACATCAGAGTCCAGGCGTGGTTGCTCACACCTGTAATTCCAGCACTTTGGGAGGCTGAGGCAGCTGGATCATCTGAGGTCAGGAGTTCAAGACCAGCCTGACCAACATGGTGAAACCCCACCTCTACTAAAAATACAAAATTAGCCGGGAGTGGTGGTGCATGCCTGTGATCCCAGGTATTTGGGAGGCTGAGGCAGGAGAATTGCTTGATCCTGGAAAGTGGAAGTTGCAGTGAGCAGAGATCATGCCACTGCACTCCAGCCTAGGCAACAAGAACGAAACTCCATCTCAAAATAACAAAAACAAAAACACGACATTAGAAAATGTCCCATCTAAACCAATGAGGCAGTAAGAACTAACTGGCATAGAACAAAGAGCAAACAGGCCGAGCGCGTTGGCTTATACCTGTAATCCCAGCCCTTTGGGAGGTTGAGCAGGTGGGTCACCTGACGTCAGGAGTTCAAGACCAGCCTGACCAACGTGGTGAAACCCCGTCTCTACTAAAAATACAAAAAAATTAGCTGGGCGTGGTAGCACGTGCCTCTAATCCCAGCTTCTCCGGAGGCTGAAGAGGAGAATTGCTTGAGCTTGTGCACCGAGATCGCGCCACTGGACTCCACCCTGGACGACATAGTGAGACTCCATCTCAAAATAAAAAAAAAGAAAAGAAAAAGGAGCATATAACTAAAAGAATATAATTGGATTGTTTGTAACGCAAAGAATAAGTGCTTGAGGGAATGGATACCCCCATTCTCCATGATGTGATTACACATTGCACGACTGTATCAAAATAGCTAATGTACCCCATAAATATATACACCTACATATCCAGAAAAATTTAAAAATTTAAAAAGGAGCAAAAGCTTTAGCAGCCTCAACAACACACCTGATTTTTTTCCACTGTGGTTTCTCAGATTAAGGCGCAAAGCTGTTCTTTTCCTTGCTTGTGATAACATCTACAGTGCAAAATGTGCTGTTCTAAGAAAAGCAGGTTGGCCAAAGCATACAAAGGCATGAAGTTCGTGTGTCATGAGAGAGAGGAGGCAAAGGTGGTGCTGGAAGAGCGGATGGATTCACCTAAGGCATTCCACCATGTGTTACATTCAGATGGGATCCCCAAGACTTCCAGAGCACAGCAGATGGGCAGGTGCCCCAGATTCGGGGAAGGGGGGGTGACTCTGGAGGAACTGTGGGAGACAGAGCCACGAACATCTCTCGGCTGAGATTGTTCTCTCTCTTATGATGGTGGTCACACGAATCTATGCGTGTGTCAAGACTCGTAATACACCCAAAAAGCCAAATTTAGTATATGGTAATTTAAATAATAAAATTATATAGATACAGCCCTAAAATGTAAGAGGGAAAAGGGAAAAAAGCAAGCAAACTACTAGACACCATCGTGACTGATGGTGATACCTTTCTAGACCCAATTCCCAACTTCAGAAAACAGGAAACTATAAGCACGTTAGGCTAGCTGGGCATGGTGGCTCATGCCTGTAAGCCCAGCACTTTGGGAGGCCAAGGAGGGAAGATCACCTGAGATCAGAAGTTCAAGCCCAGCCTGGCCAACATGGTGAAACCCCACCCCTACTAAAAACAAAAAAATCAGCCGGGTATGGTGGGTAGTCCCTGTAATCCCAGCTACTCAGGAGGCTGAGGCAGGAAAATCGCTTGAACCCGGTGGGGGGAGTGAGCCGAGATCCCACCACTGCACTCCAGCCTGGACTGTGAGAGAGACTTCGTCTCAAAAAAACACCAAACAAACAAACAAACAAAAAAGGCATGTTAGGCTCCAAGCATTATAATAATTCTATGTCCTTCGACGGAGTAAAGTGGCTCACACCTGTAATCGCAACACTTGGGGAGCCCTTTTCCTACTGACACTTGGAAGAGGGCCTCCACGAGGAAAACGCAGGTCCACACCCAGCTGGCTCAACCTGCTTGCTAATTTAACAGTTGCAGGAAGGGAAATGTCTCCAGACATTAGCAAATGCCCCCTTCAAAAGTGGGGGACAAAACTGTCCCAAGTGAGAAGCATTAGTTGGCTGCAACATTCCAGAGCTCAACGTTGAAAATACTGTTCCAATAAGCAAGCATCTTCTCTACCTTCATTTCTAAAGCTTCCCTTTCTCCTGAACCTGCCGCCTATCATGCCCCATCTCAATCTCTCTGATCCCATCGGCCAAGAACAAACCTACATAAGAAAAGGAAACAGTACCCGACTTCCTCTGAAAACTCAACATATTCTCTCTTCCATCTTAACTTTAAATTTGTTCAAATTCCATTTGCAACGGTTTCCAATTCACTTCTGCAACCTTCAGGCATGCAGTGGATTCTCCGTAAATATTGGATGGCGATGGCTGTGTGGGAGGCGGCCAGCTTGGGGGGCGCATCCATCTGAAGTCAGGCTCCCGGGGCCAGGCAGGCAGCAGCCCGGCGGACTCCTACAGGGCTGTCTTTCTCCCCTGGAGATCTGAAACGCCTCTCCTCAGCCTAGGCTCTCTTTGCCCTTTAGAAACGTGGACTTCTTCAGCCCCTTCCCACATCCAGCTTTGCTTTTGTTTCTGGTGGGTTTCATGTTTGCCAGTCTGGCCAGCATGATACATGTGTTCCAACCCCACAGAAAGTGAGGGCAGGAGTGGAGAGTGCAAGACCGGAGGGGAAAACTCGAGTCCAGTCTCCGGCTCACTAAAAATAGTTAAGGGGGAAAAAAGTTTATCTTTCTAACTCAAAAAAAAACAAACAAACAGTGTTTACAGTATATGCCTTTAGTGTTGCTTCCTGGTTGGAACTGATTTTTCAATGCATGTGGCAGTGAAAGATTAACAACTTCTCGGATGTAACATACTAGGTTTTTCTGTTTTTCCTAACGGAGGAAAAAAAGGCAAATCCAAGGCATCAGGAAAGCGGTGCGAGGATGGTTCTGCCTCGCCGGGCAGAGAAGCTGTGATGATCAGCTAAGCCAGGAGGCCCACAGGGCACTTCCTGCGGGGCAGAGCACCGGAATTTGGACGCCCTGCAGAAAACTGGGAGGGGGCCAGGCCCAGGTTCTAGCGGAGGTGTTCTCCTATCCAGCAGGAGTATATCGGAATATCTGAATTCCTGACACTTAGGACCTGCTGGAGATGGCCTCCCTGTGCAGGGACCATTTTCCCGCCTCTGTTCCTCACCTTAAAAGGTGAAAAAAATATATTCTAACTAAGATGATGTTGTACAGAACCAGTGGTACTGATATAATTGATGGGAAAACTCCAGAAATTGAAACATTCACTTCTAAGTATGTCTACAATAAAGTTATTATTTTTGCAAACTCTTTCCTCCTTAAAACCACTGGCAGAGAGTAGTTCTCTGAGCCCAGTAAAGGGGCAAAATGCCTGGGTGGGGGAGCGAGGGTGGCAGCACTACACCACAAATCTCCATTTTTGCCCTACAGGTGTGTGTGTTCTATTAAGGGCTGGAATCGCCTTAAGGGCCGGTGATCCAGCGATGAAAAACTTTTGTTGTTTGTATTAGTTACCCAGCTTGGTGGCTTTCCACAAAAATCTGCAGCACATTTGAGACATGACTACCCTTTAAAATAAACGCGTCATACTGAACATTCTTCTGTATTTTATTTTTCCTAATCACATCTTTTCTAGGAAGGACTTGTAAACTTTTCATAAAATCCTCAAGTGCCACTTCCGACACCAAAGCCACTGCCTGGGACCTTAGCAGGGAGGTTGCCTTCCTTCCCCCTAGCCTTCCAGGTTAAACCAGGGACTTGGCGAATGTGTCAGGAGAGGAAAACATTCAGAAGGCAGATCAAGTCACACATGACAATGCAAAGCAGAAACAGTCGCAAATACAATAGAGGATAGGTTTTTGTTTCTTTTCAGGTTTTGCTCCAGAACATCACTGACTGGAAAATAAACGTCAGTCCCTACCTTTGTGGAACGTCCAACGCAGCTGGCTGGGGGAACACGAGGCCTTGCAGGGAGCGAGTCCCGGCCCCGGTCTGACTGAGCACAGGCGACGCACGTGAGGTCCAGGCCCTATCCCAGCGCAGGCGGGCCTCCAGCGACCCACAGTTGTCACATATCCGGCCAGCGCTGACTCCCGAAGGTGCACTCCCCATACCCCACTCCAAGCACCGGTCCCATCCTTAGGGAAGGTCCTCCTGGGTAGCAAGGCCGGGGCCCAGGATCTGCGAGACCCACCCCACCCGCCCCGCCAGAGCCCAGGAGCAGCAACAGGTCTGCGCTCTCTCCGGGCGGCGCTCTGCAGACCCTCGACCGGCCAGGGGTGTCCCCAGCCCAGCTGTGCGCTCGGGCCGGGGAGATGGGCGGAGGACTGGGGCTCCTGACTTCCTTGACAGTTTCTGCGCCTCAGAAACTGAGCAGACGCGGGGCCCGCGCCACCTCGCCCGCCGCTTGCCTCACTTCGTAAGGCTGCGCTTCCACCCGGGTCCGGGCGGGCCGTCCCGCGTCCCGGGGATGAATGGGGCTCCTCTCCCCAACAGCGGGGAAATCCCGCCACCGCCCTCCACCCCGGTGCCCCGAGCCCGCGGTGGCGCAGGTTTGCCCAGCAAGCCCCAAGATCGGCAGACAAAGGGGCACCAGAGGAAAAGCCGAGCGCTTCCATAAACTTACCGGCCACCTACCCCTCCCCAAAACAAAGGAGCCCCCCGCCGACCTCCGTCTCTCCCCCCAAGGCGCGCCGGCACTTTGGGGAGCGGCCACCTCGGGGTATTGTTCAGCCTCCTGGGAGCGCGCCGCACCCCAGTCCGAGCGCCGCGGGGACACTTGGCGACCTGCGCCTCCTGTAGTTCCAGGGGCGGGTGGAGCGTCCGGGCGCCCCGAGTCGCCGGCCAGACCCTGGAAGGTCAGCGCGGGAACCGCCTCCCCGCAGAAGTTTGCGGACCCCGCGCCCGGCCCGCCGAGCCCCGCGCACTCACCTCACCGCGAACAGCGCAACTTGTGGCGGCGCCGCGCGCCCGGCCGCGCTCCGAACCTCCCTCCGGCCGGCAGCCGAACCCCGGCCGTGCGGCGGCCGAAGAGGGCCCGGCGCCCCGGAGCAGCCGCGCGCCGCCCCCGGGCCGCCCCCGCCCCGCCGCCGCCGAGTCCCGGAGAGGGCGCGGGCGCTGGAAAGTTTCGGTGGCGAATGGCGGCCGGAGGGCGCTGCGGCGGCGGCGCGGCGGGGGCGCTGGCGACTCCTCGCTCCCGAGCGCGGAGTGGGGGCGCTGAGCCGGGCGCGGCGGCGGAGGCGGCGGCGGCGGCGGCGGGAGAGGGCGGAACAGCGGGAGGGACTGGCACGGGCAGTGACCTCCGCGGGGAGCGGTCGCGAGCGCACGGACCCCAACCGGGAGGACCGCCAGGGGTCCGCCCCCTCCGCCAGCCCCTCCCTCACGGCCGTGGGAGGGCACCCGGCGTCCCACCCGGCCCCGCCCCTGAGCCCCGGGGGAGCCGCGTCCCGAACCAGCCCCTCCCCCACGAGGATAGGGACTCCCGGCCCTGCCCCTCCCCCGCGGCTCCTAGAGGGGACCCGCGTCCCAACCCAGCCCCTGCCCCACGGTCGGGGGACCAGCGTCCCTACCAAGCCCGCCCCGCTCCCCAACGCCTAGGGTGGGTGAGGGGAACCCAAGCCTTTCCCGAGTTGCTCCGGTCCCGGTCCCTTCCCCGTGGCCTCCGTGGGATTGAGAGGACCCCAGGGCTACCCCCATCACATCCCAAACCCAGCCTTTCCACGACTGCCTCGAGGGGACGGGAACCTCGGCCACCCCCTCTGTTTCTGGGGGGCAGGGGAACCTCGGTCCCTGCTAAAGTGTTACCCTCCCCCACCCCAATAAGGAAGCCACCCAGCTGCCCCAAGAGAACCCCCTGCCACCTGCCCGATGGTGAATCTCCCTCAAAATAAGCGTCTTAGAAGACACCCCAGTAGTCTTTACCCCACCTCAAAAAGTGGGGGCTCCGGCGGAGCCTCGACCTTTGCAAAACACCTCCCAGGAAGAGCCAGAAAAGATTAGGGACAAACTCAGACACACAAGCATAGGCGCCAGGAGCTCGGGTGTGGGGGCTGAGGAGGTTAGGGGGACCTGGGCCCTCGGGCCTCAGCACTCCCACCCCAACCCCCAGGCTTCAGCCCTCTGGCCCTTGCAAAGTGCTTAATGTTGCAATGGCTTACACGGCCTGGCCCCGGTGCACTTAAGTCCCTAGCGCTCCTTCCTCCCCTCCACGTAGGCTACTCCCCACCACTCGCGGCCTTAATTCAGTTAAACAGATCTCCACTCCCCGTCCCCAGCACCTCTGGGGTCAGCCTTGTTGAATATTTTTCAAATATTCTTGCCCCTTCCTTTACTACATAATGAGCTTCGTGCTAAGAGTCCGGTGCACTCAGCAATCTAAACTATAACCTCACTTGCTCTTCCTCGAACACTAGACCATTTGTTGTTCTGGTTGTGGGGGGAGGGGGACCCGAGGTAAGGTTTTTGTTTTTGTTTTTGTTTTTCTGAGACGGAGTCTCGCTCAGTTGCCCAAGCTGGGGTGCTGTGGCGCGATATCGACTCACTGCAACCTCCACCTACCTCCCTGGTTCAAGCAATTCCCCTGCCTCAGCCTCCAGAGTAGCTGGGATTACAGGCGCACGCCACCACGCCCAGCTAATTTTTTTGTATTTTCAGTAGTTTTAGTTTCACCATATTGGCCAGACTGGTCTCGAACTCCTGACCTCAGGCAATCCGCCGGCCTCGGCCTCCCAAAGTGCTGGGATTACAGGCGTGAGCCACCGCGCCCGGCCGGAGGTGAGTTTTTAAGAGGCCGGTCCTCCATCAAAAAGGCGGACCTCAAAATTACCCTGCAAAATATTGCCGTAAAACGTCAATGATGCAAAACGACTGTTGCTACACCATCATTAGAGGACATCAATAAAAAAATACACACTTACACAGTCTCCATAATTGTGAATCAGCAGAATAGATTGTGTCTTATTACGTATCAGTTGCCATTCAAGGCCCCCCAGAAGGACTTGGTGGGGCCTTCCCTTGAGCCTGCCCTTCGTTGCTCCCGGGCTCCCTGGGCTTGTGCAGACTGATGCTGAGTATTACATGCAATCGAAAAACGAAGGGTGCAATAGAAAACCCGAGCGAACGAGCTCATGATGCAACCCTGCCCTAGCTACACGTGCTTCCCTTCCCCCACCGCCTGCTGGTGGGAGCGCTGCGTTTTTTCCGCCTGTAGGGTCACATTGTGGTTGATTGATTCTCCTTTCGCCTTGCTCAGTCATTCAGATTTGGAAAGTAAATAACAAGTTGACATCATTACAGCTCTGGGCTTTACGCGGACGCAGCCCTCGGCTACCGCACACTCTGGAGTAGCTGCGCAGCCAACCGGCCTCCTAGCTTGCCAGACCTGCTTGTGGTTAGCAACTGGAAATTCCAAGCTAAACTTGGTTAAAAGGCCTCTTTGTGTGTTTTGATCACTTGGCAGATGCCAATCTTTTAAAGTATGGGAAAGTGGTGGAAATCATCACTCTCAAACTGGAGCACTGTGTGGCCAGGATTTATAGCTGATCTCCTGTAACTGACAAAGCAAAAGAGCTCAGAATTCATCTTGACTGGTAATAGCCCAATAATCCCACCGGCCTTATTACCCTTAAAGAGTCAATATCTTTTATCATAGATTCACAGGGCCCCAAAGGACACTGTAAGATCTAAGACAGGAAGAGAGACCGCCTACATTTATCATGAACTCACCAAAATTCCTCTTTTTGAAATGCTAGATGGGCTGTAGGTAGGTGATAATTAGACTGTGTTATTTAATCTGTTTCAACGATTTTTCAAATGTGCAGTCCTATAAGGTGGGAGAAAACAAGGAAATAAAGTAGAGCGGGAAGGAGCTAGTGTATTCTGAGAAAGCTGAAGGATAACAGAGGGAGGGGTCCACAATGATGTACACAGATACCCACTGCACTAGCCATGTGCGTGTGTGTGTGTGTGTGTGTTGCAAACACTTATTTTCAGTTATTGACTGGAGGGAGGGGAAAACAAGAATCTGCTTGCAACAAATACCACCAGCATTCCCCATATACAGTACCCAAAATTTTAATTAAAAGGCAGTAGGAATTCACACAAATATACTCAACTAATCTTTCACAAAGGAGCAAAGGCAATTCATCCTTTTTAACAAGTGGTGCTGGAACAACTGGACACCCATATGCAAAAAAATAAAAAAAATATTCTAGACATAGGCTTTATGTCTTTCACAAAAATTAACTTAAAATAGAACATACTCCCTAACATAAAAGGTAAAACTATAAAAACTCTTAGAAGATAACATAGGAGAAAATCTAGATGACCTTGGGTTTGGCAATGACTGTGTAGCTAGAACACCAAAAGCATGATGCATAAAAGAAAAAAAACAGTAAGTTGGGCATCACTAAAATTTGAAAAGTCTACAAAAGACACTGTTAAGAGAATGAGAAGACAAGTCACAGAATGGGAGAAAATATTTGCAAATTCCATATCTGATTAAGGATTGTATTTAAAATATGCAGGCCAGCGTAGTGGCTCACACCTGTAAAACTCTGCTTGAGGCCAAGAGTTGGAGGCTGTTGTGAGCTATGATCTCACCACTGCACTCCAGCCTAGGCAACAGAGAAGAACTTGTCTCTAATTTTTTCAAGTGTGTGTGTGTGTGTGTATATGTGTGTATGTGTGTGTACATATATATGTACATATGTGTATATGTGTGTGTGTGTATATATATAATTCTTAAAACTCCACGATGAGAAAATAAACAACTGAATCAAAGAGCAAACGATCAGAAAAAAATCTCATCAAAGAGATATACAGATGGCAAATAAGCATACGAAAAGATGCTGAACATCATATATCATTAGGGAATTGCAAATTAAAATAACAATGAGCTACTACTACATACATTAGAATGGCTAAAATTCAGAAAACTGACAATCCCAGATGCTGACAGGATACAGAACAACAGGAACTCTCATTTGTTGCTATTGGGAATGCACAATTGTACAGCTACTTCAGAAGACAGTTCAGCAATTTCCTACAAAGCCAAACATAGTCTTACCATACCGTCAGCAGTTGTGCCCCTAGGTATTTACCCAACTAAGTTGAAAACTTACATCCTCCAAAAACCTGCATGCAGAGGTTTATGGCACCTTTACTCATAATCACCAAACACTGGAAGCGACCAAAGTATCCTTCAATAGGCGAGTGGACAAACAAACTGTGGCTCACCCACATAGTGGAATATTACTCAGCACTACAAAGAAATGGCCTATCAAACCCCCAAAACACACAAGGGAACCTTAAATGCCTATTGCTAAGTGAAAGAAGCCAGTTTGAAAAGGCCATATACTGTATGATTCCAACCATATGACATTCTGGAAAAGGCGAAACAGGTAAGACGATAATAAGATCAGTGGTTGCCAGGGGTTCAAGGAGGAGGAAGGGATGAATGGGTGGAACACAGTGGATTTTTACAGTGGTGAAACTATTCTGTGTAATACTGTGATGGTGGATACACGTTATTATACATATAAGTGTGTGTGTATATATACATTGGTCAAAATTCACAGAATGTACAACACAAAGAGGAAACCCTCATGTAACTATGGACTTTAATTAATAATAATGGATCAACACTGGCTCCTTAAGTCACTACAAATGTACCACACTAACTTAAGATGTTAATAACACTGGAAGCTGGGGAAAGAAACACTGTAAGTCTGCACTATCAGCTCAGTTGTTCTGCAAATCTAAAGTTCTTCTAAAAAAAATAGTCTATTAATAATTTTTTTGAAAAAGGAAACACAGGCCAAATGCTGTGCCTCACACCTGTAATCCTAGCATTTTAGAAGGCTGAGGCAGGAGAATCACTTGAGCCCAGGAGTTCAAGACCAGCTTGGGCAACATAGTGAGACCCCATCTCTCCAAAAAAAAAAAAAAAAAATTAGCTGGATATGGTGATCTGAGCCTGTAGTCCCAGCTACTTACTTGGGAGGCTGAGGCAGGAGGATCAGTTGAGCCCAGGAGTTCAAGGCTGCAGTGAGCTATAACTGTGCCACTGCACTCCAGCCTAGGTGACAGAGCAAGACTCTGTCTCTTAAAAAAATAATAATAATAATAAATAAAAAATAAAAACAAACAAAAAGGAAAGAGAGAAAAAGAAAGAAAGAAAGAAAGAAAGAAAGAAAGAAAGAAAGAAAGAAAGAAA